GTCATCGTCATGATCATCGTCATCGTCATGATCATCGTCATCGTCATGATCATCGTCATCGTCATGATCATCGTCATAGTCATCATTACGGTCATACTCATCGTCACGGTCATCGTCATCGTCATGGTCAAGGTCTTCGCCATCGTCATCATTATGGTCATCGCCATCGTGGTGGTCATCGTCATGATTATGATTATCGTCATGGTCATCGTCACGCTCATCGTCATCATCATGGTCATCGTCATCGCAGTGAAGCATGATTTTTCTCGCAATTTGTTTTATGCTTGTTTTTATCCAAAGAGGTTGCTAAATATAGAGTCGATACAAAATCTATACATATAATAAATCTGTAGAAAAGTCGTGTCTGTAATTCTAATATATTCTTGAAAAAACAAGTCCAGGGGACTAAAAAAAGGGTTCTGAAGCCAAATTAGTGGTTTTTAGAATTTTTGTCTGTCTGTCTGTCTGTCTGTCTGTGTATTCCGGATTCACGCAAAAACTACTGAACTGATGTACATGAAATTTTGTGTGTAGTAGTCAGTAACCCGGGGCAACTTATAGGCTACTTTTTATCCGATTACGGAACTTCAAAAAAGGAAGGTTAAGTATATTAATTTCCTTTAGATGTTAATTTTCTGTTGTATCTTAGTTATAGGCGGAATGACGGGTGTTTTTCAAATAAATACCATATTTGTAAATAAAGTTTAAGATATCTTGGTAAAATAATTTGAAACTACACCGATTTCGTATTCAAAACAGCGCCATCTATCATCAAATGGAAAAAGTTGTATATTTTGCCTTCAGTTACTAATAAATGAAATAATATATGATTAAATTATTAGATTTTTAAAATTATTAAAAAATTGTAACGTTCAGTTTTTTAGTATTTTTGTTATTTTATTTTAAAAGTGTAATAATTTCAATAGATAATAGTGACGTCTATAAAAAATATGAAAATTGATAAGGTATTTATTTCAATTACTAATATATACGTAAAGTGGTAAAAACTGGTCTGTCTGCAATTGTTGCAAAATTTTCATTATCATCATAGTTTTATTAAAGAGATTTTTATGTATGTCGTGGCCAGATCGTAGAATTGAACATATATCATAAAGTGAAAAGACTGAAAAAATTACTGAAATGAATGTATTTGTATTTAACACTATTAGGTTTAGGTTTAAGACATTTATTCTCATAAAGACTTACATTAGTCACTTACATGAGAACATTAAAAAGAAGAACAAAATTTTAATTCGTTATGTTCGTCATTGTAAATTTGTGTGTACTCAGTTAACACATTCGTCTATTTTGTGTAATTTTTTAAAACGTATTCTGCTAATTTTATTTTGAATGTGTTAAATGGGTGTACATTTTTAATGTGTGCAGGTATGTTATTATAACGCTGCGCTCCTTCATATGTTAATGTTTTTCTACCATAGGACGTTCTAATTTTAGGTAGGACAAGAAAGCTGGCTCTTCTCGTTCTTCGTTGTCTGTGGTGTTTTGCTTTAGTGAAAGTGATACTGGAATGAATGTTTTTGTCAATAATTTTCCGGATTAAAAGACATGAGTGATAAATGTATAACTGTTGTATGGTCATAATTTTTGTTTCACTATAGATTTTTGAGGTGGATGTTCGAAAAGGATATTGGAAGAGTATTTTTATGACTTTATTTTGAGCGACTTGTAGGTTAGCTAGTCTAGTTTTGGTAGCACTTCCCCAAAGTTCTATAAGGTACATAAGGTGTGGTTTGACAAGAGTGTTGTAAATGGTGTAACGTAAGTTTCGCGGAATGCATCCTACTAAATTTCTAATAGAACCAGAGACGGATATTAGTTTGCTTCGTATGTATTCAATTTGATTGTTCCAAGTCAACTTATTGTCAATTCTTAATCCTAAATATTTTTCGTTACTTTTTTGTTGTATAGGTATGTTATTAACTGTAAGATGTTCATGTGGTGGTATAAATTTATTTTTAGCTTTAAAAATGATGTATGATGTTTTATATATTTTATGGTTAGATCATCTTCACCATTGCTCTTTCGGTACGCTAATTGTTCTTTTAATTTCGTCAGATATTTCTGTTGTGCAGGCGTTTGGTCTGAGAATATCTTGAGCTTTTCTGGTATTTTATCTCTATTACGCAATAAAATTTTAGCAGGTGTTGGACTATCAAAACATACTTTTATGCTGCGAGACTTTTGAGGGTTATATTTACCAATTCTAAACATTCTAACAGGTTTCTGTATGTTTGGATCGATTAAGGAGGAAATTTTTAAGACTTCTATTTCGTCAGCGCTGGCAGAGATCTGTTCTGGCAGCCCAACCAGTATAATATTCTTTTCTCTATTTCTGCGATCTTGTACCTCACGAATTACTTGTTCATTGCTGTAAAGTTGGGTATCCATATTACCAGAGCTTTGAGGGTTCAGCTTGTTAACATCGTCTTCAAATGATTTTATTTTATTATCTACCTGAGCTTCTAGTTCTGTAATTTTATTTTTTATGTCTTTGTGCTCCGTGAACATAATAGTCGACGAGTTTTTTAAGTTATTCAACTCCGTTCTGACTTCAATGACGTTATCGCGTAGCGATTTTGTGGTTTCTTCGTTTGATTTTTTTATTTCACTAATCTGAGTCCGGACCTCTGCAATGCTTTCCTGCATCTTGCTCAAAATTTGGTCATTTGATTCGACATATTTTTCTAACAAGGTACTAACTCGATTTAGTTCTTTACGCATTTCTTTCAGTTCATTGGAACATCCACAATCGCTGTCAATTGGCTGTTTTCGCTTGCGGAGCGTTATTTGCGGAACATCGGTTGCACAACTCATTTTTGATAAATCCGGTTGCGATCCACCGCCCGTTGGCATGCATTTTTGTGGTGATCTTTGCACATTCATTATAATACTGCGCTTACAGTGGTCAAACGCAGTTTATCAATTCACTGTATGCAAAGTTTATGCAGAGCGCCCTTATGGACAGGTAAACGTTTAGTGCGTATACTTGCGTGAAGTACTGTACTTAGTGTGCAGCGTATCGGTGCGGGAAAGAGTTAAAAAATAGCAACTGACTGTTTTCGCGGGGGTGAGGATGCGTCGCAGCGCTAGCGCTGAGCGCGTTTAATTATTTTTGACGCGTAGGCACAGAAACAAAAGGATTCAATTACCAATTAGCAATTAACATAAATTATATTCACTAATAACTACACAGAGTCTTTTTTGGAACAACACTTGTGGAGAGAAAGTTAGAACACGTCTGCTCTGAGAGACGAACGAACGATTTTATTGACTACTATTTGTTGACCATGTCATGATATAGCTTGACCAAATCAATGAATCTGAAAAATCTTTTGAAGTTATTAGTAACTAAACACAACGTTGCTATTTCATAATATGGTCATATGACGATATCATTATCGTTTTTCACCACTAGCGGCGCTGATAGCTTATTTTTAACAGAAACAGAACTTTTAAGAGAATTGACATCACTTTATCCCTTAATTATAATAATAACAGTTAAGTGACAAAACTGCTACGTCAGTGCAGTCAGTCAGCGCCTTGCCAAGAGGTGTGTGCGCCGTGCCTCGGCAGAATTGAGGGTGCAAAGGTCCGTCTGTGCTTATGGCCGCACCATGAAACGGTGCCGGGCCTGGGCGTCTCCCGTTAATTGACGCCCATATAATGGATGATGGAAAATAAAAGAGTGCGCAAAGGGCCGCTGCCTGGAGGTCGCCAGGGCGCGTCTGGAGCTGGCGCTGGACGCGACAGCATGCGGGTCGCCAGCCAATCTGCGGGGGGCTGCAAGACCACCTAGTAGCCGCCCGCATCCATCATCCCCACCAGAGGGCTTGGTGTCGGCTGGGTCTTCTCGGACTCAGCAAGTGGCACCCGCCGCTGGTGGAACACGTCGCATGCGTTGGACAAAAATCATGAACGCAAACGCATTGCGAGCGTATTTAAGGGCAAAAGGGGAAGAAACTGGAATGTTGGCGTATCGGGCTCGGATGCATCGCTTTTTCGCGGAGCTGGAGCCATCTGTTCATGTGTCAGAGCAAAACCTGGCAGACCGAGTTCGGTACATCCTGCGCTCCAACATATTTGGTGACGCCGAACTCGAACGACTACGACGTGAGGCCGTTCCCTCATCGAATGAAAATGCTGCAGCTGGTAATGCGACGCCACAAATTGCAGAACAATCTGCACACGTCGATGCCGCCGCGGATTTTCCAGTTGTAGTTGATTCAGACGATGATGGAATGGTCACCCAAGAACTAAAGCAGATGAGGAGTAAATTGGAGGAGGCGATTGTGGAAACGCGTAGTACGCCTCTCGAAAATCGACCGCGACTACCGCGCATAACCCTAAGCAAGCGGAATCGGGCTGTCGTGAGGGCTCTTAACCCAATGCTGGTGACCTATTTGGAAGCCAGCCGGGACCTTTGCGAGACGGACTCAATTCTTTTTGGCGCCGCACTGGCAGTTTGCCGTATTATTGGCGCCAAACTTCCCACGGCTGGACGCGCTCCTAGACAAAGTAGCGCCATCCCAGCCTGGAGAAGAAGGATTGAGGACCGTATCGCAAAGGCAAGGGTCCTCATCGGCAGACTGATAAGCTTCAGGTCGGGCAATAATAGGCCGAGAATTGTGCGCACCGTCAGGATGGCGTTTGCTGGGACAAATATCAGTTTGTCTCAGCCGGATATAACGCAAAAACTGACGGAGCGCATAGACGACCTGAAGCAGAGAATCGCTGCTTGGGGGAAGCGGATTCGGCGATATACCGAGAGGTCGACACGGTTCAACCAGAATCGTCTCTTTCAGAGTGATCAGAAGAGGCTCTATGAATCATTGGAGCGACCGATGGTACGTGGAACGGGCCCAGCACCGAAACAGGCCGACACTATCGCATTTTGGCGCGGCCTGTGGTCATAGCCCGTAAACCACAGCGAGGGCCCTTGGACGGAAGTTGTGGCGAGTCAGTGTGCGAATATTACGCCCATGGACCCCGTCATCATAACGCCGGATGACGTAGCTGAGGCGGTCCGTAGGGCCCCGAACTGGAAAAGTCCGGGACTCGACGGACTGCATCACTACTGGCTGAAGGGGTTCGTGGTGTGTCACGCTGTGCTCGCCCGACAGTTTCAAGAGGCTCTCGTCCTCTTCACTACTGGGATCACTCATTTGGTTCCTAAAGACCGGGATTCCACAGACCCGAGCAAGTACCGCCCCATAACGTGTCTACCTACCATATACAAGACACTAACATCTATTTTGAGCGCGAGAATCACTCGTCACCTGAACTCAAATCAGGTGATGTCGCGCGCTCAAAATGGACGTCGGGGCGGTGGTCGTGGAACCAAGGAACCACTCCTCATTGACGCGGTCATTGGCAAGGTGGTTAAACGCAACCGTCGGAACCTCTCCGCCGCCTGGATAGACTACAAAAAGGCATTCGACTCGGTGCCTCATACATGGCTTAAGAGGGTCCTCGAGCTGTACAAGGTTGACTGTACGGTTCGAGACTTCCTCGGGCAGTGTATGGGGCAGTGGAGTACGATCCTTTGTCATCTAGGCCAGCGGATGACGGCTGCGGAGAACCACATAAGGATAAGAAGGGGTATCTTCCAGGGCGATTGTTTGAGTCCAATCTGGTTTTGCCTCTCTCTGAACCCTCTCAGTACCTTACTGGAGGGTTCCGGGAGGGGATTTCAGCTTCGGAAAGGAGGTACAAAAGTGACCCACCTTTTCTATATGGATGATCTCAAGTTATTCGCCTCCAGTCGCTCCCATCTTGTGGAACTGCTAAACATCACTTGTGATTTTAGCAATTCTATTGGAATGGAGCTGGGGACGGATAAGTGTGCGATCCTCCATGTCGAAAGGGGAAGGGTTGCTAACTCTGAGGGCATGGACTTATCTATGCCCATCAGCATAAGGACCCTTTCCGAGGCTGAAACATACCGATACCTGGGTATGTCACAGAACATCGGTGTCGATGAGGCGGGTATGAAGTAGTCAGTTTGCGATGTGTTTTATGCACGCTTGACAAAAATGCTTAACAGTCTTTTGTCGGGCGTTAATAAGACACACGCTTATAACGGCTGGATCATGCCTGTTCTCATGTATACCTTTGGCATACTCAGGTGGACTCAGACCGAACTGAACGCTCTGGACAGAAAAGTCCGCACTATAATGACGTCCCACAGAGTGCATCATCCGAGATCGTCGGTAATGAGGCTGTACTTGCCGCGGAAGCATGGTGGGCGCGGCTTTTTAAGCGCGCTTACCCTGCATAATCGCGAAGTGTGCAGCCTCCGTAATTATTTTCTGTCGAGAGCGGATGATCCATTCTATAGGGACGTTATTTTTTGTGATAAAGGACTTACCCCTCTATCCTTAGCCAATGAGCAATGGTAAGACCCGGCAGTACAGAGCATTTCCGACCGGGAGACCATATGGAAGGAGAAGGAGCTCCACGGGAGGTCCTACAAGGCTCTACATGAGCCTTTCGTAGATACAGTTGCCTCCCTCCACTGGCTGCGTTTTGGTGACCTCTTCGGGGAAACCGAGGGTTTCGTCTGTGCAATACAGGATCAGGTTATTAAGACCAACAACTATCGGAGATACATCCTAAGGGATGGCACCGTCGACATTTGTCGAGCTTGTCGCCATCCTGGTGAATCACTTAGGCATGTCATCTCCGGTTGTTCGGCGCTTTTTAACTCTGAGTATTTGCACAGACACAACCTAGTAGCCTGGATTCTAAACCAGGAGCTCGCTCTGAAATACGGTCTCGTGGATCGGAAACTGCCATAATAATATGCCATACTTATAAAAGTACATGCCGGAAGCCGTGCTCGAAAATGACCGCGCCAGGCTCTACTTGGACCGGGCCATCATCACAGACAGGACCATTCTTGCGAATAAGCCTGATATTGTGCTGATGGACCGGGCACAGTCAAGGATATTTTTGGTCGACATTACCATTCCGTATGACGAGAACCTCGTGAAAGCCGAAACAGATAAGCGAACAAAATATCTGGACCTGGCTCACGAGGTGACCGACATGTGGGGTGGACTGCCGGCCGAAATTATACCTGTAGTCGTTTCTGCGAACGGGTTAATCCCAGTCAGCCTCTCGGGTCATCTGAGGTGACTGGGACTCCGTGACGGACCGCTCCAAGCTCAAATGCAGAAGGCGGTGCTCCTCGATACCGCCCGCATCGTCCGCCGGTTTCTTTCCCTTTCCCCCTAACCCTCGGCCGTTTGGTCTCCCCTGCCGAGGGCTTCCATCTGGTTGGGTTTTTATTTATTTATGTATTTTTTATGCATTTATTTTATTGTGTTGATATTTATGTATGTTTATCATTTTCATTTACAATTATATATTTATACAGCCCAACCAGATGAGTAAACTATATAGATGCCCCAAATAATAATAAATAAATAAATGTTCGTTTCTATTGCTGATATTACTAGATGGTATAGTTTTGGCTTTCATTATTTTATGTAATATTAGCGCCACCTACTTACTTCTAAATAAATTAAAATGGCAAGTCATTGATAAAATGAAATAATAAAATGCTATTGATTATACGATGTAAATAATTGAATCATTTACATTACGTTCATCCCGCGTTGGAATCAGTGCAGCGAACTCTTTTTTGGCCAAAAACTCTACAGCCTGTGCCCAGTAGTAACATGCATGTAAGCTGCTTTTTTACTTTTCATGGGGCAATATATGCAGTTTTTATTTCGTTCGTGTTTTCGGGTATGTTAATTTTTGTTTTCACTCTACCGTAAATATTAAGGCTTCCAAAGATGAGTAGAACTCATTATCGTTAGCCTATCAAAAGTCCACTGAAATGAACATAGGCCTCCCCCATAAATTGTCAAGTAGCTGGATATTTGCTATAGTGGTGGGTTGGCAACCGCAGCTATTATTATTTTGATCTGTTGTCAAGAAGATGATGCAGATCATCCCATCTACTGTTTTTTTCCTATGTCGCCTCTTACGACGGGACGATATGAGATATTGGATTTTCTTTCACTGCCACAACAGTGCGACCATTTTTCTACTCCCGTTCATGGGTGTAGTATTCCTCACGTCACTGTGTATAAAATTTATAAGGAATAAAAGTAATTTTAAGGATTTTATCGCATTTAATTTTAACTTTTTAAATTCCCAATGGTTTAAGCAATTTACAGCACCCATGGTCACGGGAGGGGCGGGAGAACTGAGGTGTTTGACGACCTGATGTCATAGTTAAAATAGAATAGTTAAAATGCAGTTAAAATGCTAATAGGACTCCATGATTAATAAAATTAAATTCAAACTACAAAGTTTGAATTTAATTTTATTAATCATGGAGTCCTTAGCAGATAGTAGCACTCAGCCATCTTCCCTATTAAAATTAGGATATTTTTAATTTCTATAGCCTCGCGAATCATCATTGGTAGGATTCGGTTTTCTATTGCAAGAATTTGTTGTATATAATGGTTGGGACGATACAAAATTATTAACGAACTACAAGTAGTTCAAAACTTATTCTGTCGTCGAGCTACGAACGCACCTTGGTACGTCCGTAATGCCGATCTTCACCGGGATTTAGAAATCCCAACAATTCAGCAATTTACTAAAACTCTCTCTGAAAACTTTTTTAAAGTTTCAGAGTCGCACAATAACTCATTAATTCGTGAGGCAGTAACTTATACCGCCCCACTCCCTTCCCGCTATACCGTCCGCAGGCCGAGAAACACTCTCTCGGACCAGCCAAATAAACTTTCAAGCGACCTGAACTGCCTTCTGGCGGCTCAGGCCAATACTAATTAAAGTAAAAATTATTTAAAATCAATATGCCTTCGTAGGCAGTCCCTAAACGGCACTTAGCCGTCTGCGCCCTCTTTTCCCAAAAAAGGGTCGCTTTAGATATGGCATAGGAAGCTTTAAACAGCTGGTTGCCAATCCCCAAAGGCGGTTTTTAGGGGGTATCACATAGGCTCCCCAGTTAGGCGTGAGTCCCCCATAACCACGATGGATAGCCATCGTGGTATGCGTAATGCATTTTCCGCCTCCCTTCGGGGTAGCCCATTTCCAATTGCTTCGGGCGCAAAAAAAAAAAAAAAAACTAAACATGTTTACATACTTTAGACTTCCCGGAGCTTCGGTGCTTTCATTCGGTGAGGAGCCAAGATCCGTAAAAAACCAGTAACATTAGTTTTAATCCATGTGTGGTATTCATCATTATAGAACTGTATTTATGAAATTTTCACTGTCTACTCTAAGTAAAAAAAAAATATCTATATCTTTTTATGGTGCCAATCAATATTAAATAGGACCAATGATATGAATAAAATGTCTCAAATAAACATTATATTACTTTGTTAAAACTAAATTTACTTTAACTATGAATATATATATGTAAAGAGTAAAATGTAAATAATAATACATTTTGATTTCAAGACTAATTTACCTTTCCTATGAATACATCGGAATCGGAAGACACGCCATATATAAAAAATAGTAGGAGTTTCTAGACATATTATATATTCACGTATTTCTGTAGCATGTTACCTGTTGTAATCATCGACGTCTAATAGTATTTTAGAATGAAAAAAAATCTCTGACAGACATAGAGACATAGACACCAAGGTGACTCTAAAATTGATCAAATATTTGTAAATTTGACACGGAACATCATTTAATGATGTCCCTAAATTCAAGCGCACACGAGCGAAGCCGCGGGTAAAAAGCTAGTAAGTAAATATATCTCTATAGATAGTGCCAGGTACATATAGATAGTACATACATATAGACAGCCTATGCTGAGGACCGAGTGTGGCAGCATCGTTTCCGGGGCACCTGAGATTTTGAGTGAGATTGAGAGGTTCTATGGGCAGCTGTACACGTCATCGTTAGAACCACACGCAAGTGTGAGTAACGATCCAAGAGCGTGTGTGTGTGAAGTGTCAAACACTATTCCGAAGATATCCCGGACGTCCGTCTGAATTGCTGCTGAATGCAATTTATGTTTGTAAACTGCCTCCACGACACATGAGAAAATCCTAGTGTGGGGGTAACGTTTTATAATAACAAGAAAATTAAAGCTCTTTAATTCCGTCCTCCATGGTGGCATTACACTGGAGCCGTGGAGCAGAAGTGCATTGAAGAACTACAGACCGATTTCCCTTCTGAGCCGCGTCTACGTGCTGTTTTGGAGAGTCATTACGAATCGTCTCGCGCGCATACTTGACGACTTCCAGCCTCCCAAACAAGCCGGTTTCCGAAAGGGCTTTAGCACCATAGACCACATACATACCCTTCGGCAAGTTATAGAGAAGTCCGAGGAGTACGATATGCCACTATGCCTGGCGTATGTGGACTATGAGAAAGCCTTGTATCCGTCGAAATTTGGGCGGTGCTGCAGTCCCTTCAGCGATGCCAAGTTGACTGTCGGTATATCGAAGTGCTGAAGTGCTTGTACAGTCGGGCTACGATGGCTATCCGAGTACAGAACCAGAGTACGAAACCTATCCAATTGCAGAGAGGTGTAAGGCAGGGTGACGTTATTTCCCCGAAACTCTTCACCGCTGCATTGGAAGACGTTTTCAAGCTTCTGGACTGGAAACGATACGGTATTAACATCAATGGCAAGTACACCACTCACCTTCGATTTGCCGACTATATAGTCCTAATGGCAGAATCGCTGGAGGATCTAAGCACCATGCTCAATGACCTCAATAGTGTCTCCCAACGGATAGGTCTTAAGATGAACATGGACAAAACAAAGATCATGTTCAATGTCTATGTCACACCTATTCCGGTAGTTGTTGGGAGCACTAAGCTCGAAATATGTTTACCTGGGACAAATAGTCCGAGTAGGTAAGTCCAACTTCAACCGAGAGGTCAAGCGACGGATTCAACTCGACTGGGCAGCGTTCGGGAAACTACGACACATCTTCTCGTCAGACATTCCTCAAAACCTTAAAACGAAATTATACAACCAGTGCGTTTT